GACGCCACCAACGCCATGCACACCCTTACCGAGTCCTGGTGGAAGAGAAAAACCAGTTGGCCCGCCAGAGTTATCCTGTGCTCCGTGGTGAGGCTGTGGATTCTGCTGATTTGTCACAGCAGCGTCAGGCCCGTATCTCCCGCGAATGACTCCCTGAGACGTTCCATGCTCAACCTGACCGGTGAAGATCCCCCCTGTAGGGGAACATCCGGGGTACGTGTTGATGGTCCCCCTCGGAACTGCTCGTCCGACCACGGGCGAAGACATTGCCCTTGGTGGCATTGGCCCGGCAGCTCCGGCGTGGGAACAAAAACCAGAATTTCCTTGGTGCGGTTCAGGACTCCGATGTGACGGATCTTCACGTGATGGCCCGGATCCAGGATCAGGAGCAGTGCCATCCCGCTGATTTTGATCAGGAATGCAATCAGGTCCTCCAGGCCCCGCACTGGGGCCGCGATGTTTAGTTTTCCCGTCGGGATCAGCTCTCAGACAACCGAGGCAGATAGGTCGAACACTCGACCCAAAACGACGCACATCGTCAGGCGAAGCGATGTGTTGATCGCAGTACTCGTCCTTGCATATGAGACACCTCACAAGTCCGTGTCTCCCCCCTCTTCCTCTGCATGCGCGGCATCTAGGAAATTGATCGCTGCACTTGAAACACGAGTTACAATCATGGTCAAAGCAGTCCTCGCAGACTGACTTGCCGCAACTTCGGCATGGATAGCGAGGTTCCCGATGCTGTGGATGCCCGGCCTCTTCATGAGCACACCTGGCCCGGTTATCAGGGGCAGCGCCGGCAGCCCGAGCAATGGCCCTCGTTCTAGAGGGATCCCTGCCGAAGATGGGGGCTGATGGTGACGGTGGGGGTGGCCCCGAAGGAGGTGGAGGCGGAGGAGATCTCGTCGAGCTGACTGTGCGAACATCACGAGGAGGAGAACCTCTAGGGGTCCTTCCCTGGGTTAAGGGATTAGTGTCTCCAGATTTTTCCCATGATCCCGTCCCGGCGGTCGAAGCAGCGCCAGCATTTGAAGATCCGTAGGCAGCGGGAGGTTGTTCCCTTATCTCAGCGATCTGCATGTTGATCTCATTGACCCTCAGCACAAGCTTCATAAACTGCTCTTGCATGTTCCTCGGATTGGGCCCTAAGCTTTTGTCATGAAGGTCCTTGACGCACCTAGCAACACGGGACAATTGAAGCTTGAACTCCTCCTGTTTCTGTGAGTTCTCATTGAGGGCCCCGGACACCCTATCACTGAACTGCTTCAGGTCGGTCGCAGGAACGAGATGCTGAATATACGTCTCGACGTTCCCACGGATGGTTCTTTCCCTTGATATGGTTCCCTCAATGTCGATGACACTGCGAGAGTTCGCCTCAACTTCGTCTTTGATTTTCCGAACTTCAGCCTCAAGAGCTCCGATCTCAGAGAACCTAAGGAGCTGGACCTTGACGTTCTCAAGTGATTCGGCCTGCTCGCGAAGTCCAGCAGCAGATGTGACGATCGAGTCAGATCTCTCATCATACATCTTGAAACGCTCATTCGTCTCCTTCTCGCTTCGGGCGACCCACTCGTGGAAATCACGGAACCTAGCCTCGTGTTTTGAGAGAGTTCCAGCAACGGCAGAGAAAGATGATTCAACCTTCTTCTCGAAGGCGTCAACACGGTTATTGATCTTCTTGATCTCACCGACGCAAGCGTTGATATCATCCCTACATGAACGAATCTCAGTTCTGCACCCCTGGATTTCGGCCTTGCACCCCTTGACCTCGTTGTGGATCGCGAGAAGCAGTCGTTGAAGCTCAGATGCAACAGGATGGCCGCCACTTGTGGAGGCAGACGGAGCAGGACGGCTATCAGCGTCATGATCTCCGCGACTATTTTCTTCCCTGTCAGGAGTGCAGCCAGGAGTTCCGATTTGAAAGAATGCGGGAACGAGGGAGTCGTTAACCGGTTGATTCGAAGGAAGCCCTCCATATCCAGGGGCAACAGCGCTAAGTCCAGGCCTCCGGTTCCTAGGCGTAGAGTTAATCCCGTCATCAGTCTCCTTCTCGGACATCGGGGCATTGGAGCTGAGCCCAGACCCCGCAGAGTGGATAGGAACGTCAATAGGGTCGTGATGAGCTGGGGGATTAGATCGCAGTCGGAGAGCAGCTTCACGTCTCTCGGGTGACTCAGAGCTCCTCTTTGCGGCTCGTGAGTCAGTGCCGGTTTGTCCCGACACATTATCAAATGATGATGATCCGCGAAGTTGAGCTTGATCTGGATTAGGCTGAGTAAGATCAAGCCGTTGAGCAACGTCACCATTGAGTGGCTTAGGGGAAAGTACTTTGGCAACGCGGCTCGGCGGGAGCGATGTAGTTCGTCTCTCTGGTGTGACCTCGGCCTCATCGATTACATCAAGGATCCCAGGAATGGTTTCATCATCTTCATTTCCTCTCCTGGGTGGCTGATGGAAGGGGATGTCGAGGAGGTCAAATGGAGTGGAGCCAATGCCAGGTGTATCCTGCTCGGATCCATCGCTGGTACGGTGGCTGGACTGCTCCTCGAGGTCGATGACGTCGGGGGCGGACTCTTTTCGAGTCTGACGCCGATTGAACGCCGCGAAGAGACCGGCATGGCTTCTTGACGAAGAGGAGGAAGGATTTGGGCCTGCTGTTTCGCGGCCCACATCCGATCGATTAGTACCTGATGTCCGATTCGGCGGATTTGAGCCCGCGTTGTAGCGGTTCGCATCCCGACCTCGGGTACCTGAGGAAAGCGGTGGATTCGGACCAGCGTTGTAGCGGTCCGCATTCCGGTCACGGGTACCTGACAGGTGAGATGATACTGCATCAGGGATGAAGTCCATATCCGCCGGACTGGGGTGATCGTGAATGATGTCAATGTCGGATGAACCTGAGACGGGAGGAGGGCCAGCTATTTGCGGCCAATCCTCAATCGCCCGTTTGCCCACCTCGGGTTGGGCCGAACCTGCATCATGAGAAGGGGAGAAATCTTCAACGGGGTCATTTTCTCCATCATGAGGAAAACCCTGAGTAGGCTCATGCGACGGCAAAACATCAAAGGATCTGTCAATTCGGGAAGGCTGAGACCTCCAATCAGCATCACAAAGGGATTGAAAATCCAGATTCCCAACCGAAACGGGGGCACCCGAGTTAAAGTCGAGCCGACCGAAATCAGGCGGTTTAGCCTGCGATCCACTGCCGAGGAGTTGGTCAAACTGATCCCATGTAAGGGACCATGATTGAGCCGTCTCCGGATGAGCAGCATGATGGATAGCCCGGTCCTCGATCTGGAGCGCCACGAACGGAACAGTAGGCGAAATCGATGAGGGCACCTGATTTGGAGGAACCTCAGCCTCTTCTAGAGGGGGTCCGTCCTCGATCTGGAGCACTGCCGCCGGGATAGGGGCCTCCGCATCCTCATCAAACACAACCTGAGAAAGGATCCAATCGTCCGTGATCACCCCGGGATTGGGCTCTGCGCCCACCATCGGGGGAATGGGCCACAGCCGGCTGTCTAAGCCGGAAGCAGCAGGCGCGGCATTGCCGCGAAGGGCGTTGGCCTCGTCGTCCACGAAGCCCGGCCCACGATGAGAAGCTCCGGGGGACGCCATTGCTCGTACAAGTAGGCGATGGGAGCAGGTAGCGGGTCACGTCCCGCAACCGGATCACCAGCCCCAGCTTCTAGCTGGTACGGCTGATAACCTGCGGTTTTGGGCGGAAAGGGCGTTGCCCAGGGAATCAAAAGGGCTCACGTAATCCACGAAGAACCCAAAGAACCCGGACTCACGACTCAGTGGACTGAAGCCGGTGACCAGGTTGAAGGACGTGATGATTGAAGAAGAGGTGGTTGAAGTGAAGGTTAAACAGCAAGTTGCAAAAGATCACCTTAACCAGGCCCAGGCAAGTCCTGCCGCAGCACCACCTACCTCCTAGCACCAGCCCACCCCAGCGCCGAGAGTCCTTTCTCGGCGACGCAGCGAGATGCCGTGCTATGGCGAGTGCCGTGCTACCAAAACTAACCTGACGGGAGGTTAAACTTGAGCCAAACGGCCATTCGGCCGCTTTGCCATATGATGAAACAACACGTGAACAAAACACACCTTTAAAACCGAGGGAAATAACAACTACTATTCAGTTCAGCAAATGGAAGTTCTGGAAATCTGTTGCAGAAGGAAGGCTTAGCAACTCGTTGTGTTTCTCTTGTGCCCAGCCAGCATGGGGAGCCGGGCGGAAAGCTTGGGGACTGCTCCGGTGGGTGAACGCCACTAGGCTAGCTCCAGTGGCAACTGGAAGCAACAGGGGCCCTTCGTTGGCTCAACTTTTTTTGGAAGATCGGAAAGAGTTCTCTAGGGCTTGTTGCGCGTGACTCATGGACGAAGGAAGTTGGCCACCAACGAGTGCTGCAAATGGCAGAAACAAATAATCCATGATTCCAATTTAACCATCGCCCCGCCGCATGGGACACTCATTGCACATTGGTCAAGTATTGCACAGGCGCCTATAAAATGCCTGCGCTTGGCGGATTGGTGTCAACACAACCCCGCTACTGGCCGATTTCCGGCCGAAATTATCTTCAACAGACTTAGACCCTTCAAAAATTTCATCTTGCTTTCGGCATCCTCATGGTCGGCATGTCAAGCGACGAGCCCTTCTGGGAGCCGAAAAGAGGGGCACCCGGAAAATAGGCCTTCAACGCTTTTCACTTGGAAGGCCAACAGGGTTCCACTCGCTCAAGCCTGAGCAAAACCCTGTAGTGATACATTCCCTTTAAAACCACCAAGAAAAATCACATGTGTGTGTTTAAAAAAAACAAAAACATTCGCTTCAGCAAATGGAAGGGTTGAAAGAAGCTGTGACAATTGAAAAGGGCAACAAGTTAAAGCACCAATTAGAGGGAAGCTGAAACGTGGCAGTTTCCATGCTGCGACAAACCTAAGAAGACCTGAGGGGATTTGTAGACTTCGGCTCAGGTAAGCGATTCATCTAATCAAACGAGCTGCAGGTTCATGACCCAGAAGTTCCCGCCGAGGTCTGGCTTCTTCGTCTCGGCCACCACGATGAGGTAGCCGTAGACCACTCCTGGGCGCACGCTACGGGGACATTTCAAAAAATGAAGCTTGGACCCCCTTTTCATTGGGATTCAATTGGAAACCACAAGAAATCAACCATTTTAGGCGACAACCATATTGAGAAACCCCATTCCAGTCAGCATTAACCTTTGAGGGATGCTTAATGCTGGGTCGACACCACAAGCTCACCTCCGCCGAGAGGATTTGCCACAAGTCGTCTTGCTTCTGTACGTCGACAGGCTCTGCAAGAACCTTCCCCAAACCACCAATCCAATCACCAAATAGGGCTGAAAGAAAGGGATCTGAAAGGAGCAACAAAACCGATGAGAACAATGGGGGTGGCTCAGTTTGACTCCAACTCCCGCAGCGAACCAGGCTATGTTTGGGCCCCTTTTCCATTCGCTTGGGTTTCGCGAGGAAACGAAAGTGAGCCTGACTTTGTGACTGCCGTGCGGGCCAGTCATCCTTATGGCTGCATTGACAATATCGCGGATGCAGCGCCATCTTATCTTGGCATGTCGCAAAGGGGATTCTTGGTATCACAAAGTCGATGTGCCCTACCCGCATGTAACCCACATGGATGATGGAATCCCCAATCGGCGGTCCTCAAACAAATGCAAGCAACTCTAGGGCCCGAAAGGGGCTCTCAACTAGATCGAGCCGAGGGTCTGCAAATCAAGAAGTTGATGAGCGCCAGCAAAGGGATGGTCGGGTTCAGCGTGCCGAAGACGATTCCTGACCAACGTCTCCGCTCGGATGTCCCCCGATTCTCCCGCGAAGGCCGCTTCCATGCGAGCCGCGGTCCCGCCTACTCAAACCTGAGTGGTGGGTTCAAAACCGCGGCATCAACAAGGCAGCCCAGGCTGTCTGGTTCCTCCAATAGAAACTTGATACGGCTTTGTTGGGGTTTTTCGGAAGGAAGACAGGGGTGGAGGGGGGACGAGTTGGATCGACAAGTTTCCCTCTTGGCTTCTGGCCCCCCTTTTGACGTAATAGTTATCTATTTCGAAGGAAACAACAACTCGACAAGTAGGAAATTCAACGGAGAGGGGCCCTACTAAAATGGTGTTGGTCCTCCCTCTTGGTTTCCCTTCAAAACCACCAAAAAGGGGTACCGAGTTTCCCAAAAAGACACACTCATTATGTTGATTTCCCCAAGCACAGGCCCAGTGAACTTCAATCTCTTGGGGGAACGTCGTATGTCTTGTTTTCTATGAGCGTGTGTGGAATCCGAAGGGAGGGGGCGGTTTCTGGGGGGAATCGGAAAGGGGGGGTGGTTTCGGGGAGGGGGGGTCCCTCTAAGGAACCCTAAAAATATTCACCCCTCCACGTATTCCCCTTACAAATTCAATAACGAAACGGAAGTCAGGGAGTCAGGATGAACCGCCTAGCAATAATCCTTCATAGGCTTGGTCGAAACCAAATGCCGGTGAGGTTGTAGATGTGGGTGTATATTGCCTACATGGATAGGGCACGCTTTCAAAGCAGTTTTCCCTTACCCCCCAAAAAGACGCTCTTAAGCCGTATCAAGAGTCATAAAATTAGACAGCCTCAAAGAACTGTCTCAAGATAGGGAGACAAGTAGAAATGGCATCGGTTTCCGCTGGTGTAACACCCAAACAGCCCCCCCCCCCCTGAAGGCCAGGGTCCAAAAGAGGCCCCTCAAAAAGCGCGGAGCCCTTGGGGAAGGGGGCCGTTGGACTGTGTCGATAGTAAATCTATGTGTTGGTTCATGTCATTTCTGAGAACCACAAACAAACATGGGCGGCTTGAAAGGAAAACGCCAGGGGCAACTACCCCTCTTTGGAGGTGTGTACCCGTTTGAAGATACACAAACATGCGTGCCAATCTTTGGAGTGTTTGATGTCGACCCCAGACTCGCCCCCTGCGCTCCATCTTCACAGACTCACCTGTCGCATTGTTGTACCTGCCTTGGTTATCCACCGTTCAGTGTCTTACAATAGAAAAAGAAAGCTCAGACCGGAACCAGTTTCACACATTTCGCCAATAACATAGAAGCCCAAGTCTAAACTGTTTGTTGACACGAACAGTCGAAACCCAACAAGTACAAAGTCCAGGCACTCGAGTGATCACATGGTTGGGTGTTGTTTGCTCGAGGGCCCTGTTTGCCTGTTTGGTGTGGTTTCTTTGTAACCCTCCATTGGCTTAAGGCCCCTGCAAAAACACACACACACACATTCCCAAAAACACAGTTCATTTTCCCCCAAAAAAACCAACAGGGTGCAACAAAAAAAGGATTCTTAATCCAGCCAGTGGGTTTTAACCAGAAAAACCGATGGGGAGCCGAAGCCGCAGCTTCCCCCACCAGCGCCCCAAAAGCGCCCCAAAAGTGCCCCAAGCGCCGCTCGCAGGCGCCTATGAGGAGGTTGATGCTCCAGCGCGCGCTGCGGGACCCGAAGCCGTAGTAGTCCTGGTCCTCCGGCTCCGCCTTCTTCTTCGCCTGCCCAAAGGCGCCGGGCGACGAAAGACGTCCCCGCTTGAATCGAACCCAAGTAAAGCCTGAAAACAACCCGGAGAAAGCTTGAAAAAAGACTTAGGAATCCCGCAAAAAAAAGCCAAAGGAGTCCTAAAAACAAAAAAGTCACTAAAGTCCGAAACGGAACACAGGGCACTTCTTGAGGAACCTCAAAGGAACCCTTAGGAACCCCAAGGAACAGGCACTCGGTACCTACTCCGCTTACGGATTCAACAATTGTACTGGGATGTGTCACTGCTGATTTAGCGGCGGGCGGGTTGACCAGAATGAAGTCCTGGAACATGTTCTTTACCCGCCAAAATTATCCACACCCAAAAAGTGATTAATAGTCCGAAACGGAGCCCAGGGCGTGAGGGTTTCTTGATTTTTTCCCCCAGCTGAAAGCTTTGGGTGGTGCGGAGCAGCTTTCAGGGTGGCTTCCCAGAGTTTCGGGGGCTGTTGGGGATACCAACTGGGCTTACTTGGTCTCGTTGCCTTGTGTGCGTGTGTTGCTTGTGATTTGTTGTGCCTTGATAGTATCTTGTTGATATCTGGGTATTTGTTGGTTTCTTGTTGTGTTTCTCCAAATGGTATCTGACACGGTATGTGTCAAACTAGAAGCACCCGCAAAAACGGTCGTGTTCCCCTCCCTGTGCCTTTGAACCTACCCAAAAAGGGTACCCACGGAAAAACAAAAATGAGAACCCCAAATACAGAGCAACTAAAGCTACTTAGGATTCACTTTTTTCAGGAAACACTCCCTCTATGGAACTTGACGGAAGAATCTGAGAAACCCGTCAAACACCAGGGTTGGCTCTCATGGTACAAAGAACAAGGCATCCGTACCACAGCCTTCCCGCAACTGGTCCAAAATACTCGACTAACTCGGATGACCCGTAGAATTGTGTTCTTCCATTTTCTTGAGTCCACTGGAAAAAACACGTCTCTCCAGGGATAGATTCACATTAAAACCAACAGGGCAAACAAAAAACACATTCTGAAACGCAAGTGGAAGTTCAAACAACCAAGTTCTATGCTGACATTTCCCAATGGATCCCAATTATTTCAGGTAACCCTTCAAGCCGTTTCCTTGCAGTAGGGTTGGTTGCCTAAATGGGGTACTTAGCCCTCAAAAGAAGACACGCCCAAATGTGTGTGTGTGTGTGTGTGTGTCTCTGTTTGAAGTTACACCTGTGTGGTCTTAAAGGAAAACCAACACGGAAACCACTGTTTTGGGGGGTCCAGGCTTAAAACAGGAAGCACCTGCAGTCTCCACGACCCTTCGAAATGGGGTCATTGCCCTAAACAAATCCGGGGTTCTGGCCTCATAGGGGGTCTCCAGAGACTCCAGGCACACTTGGTTGGTACATCCCCGCCCCGCTGCACAAAGCACATCGCCCAGCGCGTGCTCCACCAATCCCATCCGCGAGAAGCCCAAAACAAACCCATGCCTCGCCGCCAGCCGAAAAAAGAACATGAACCCACCATTTGTTTTAGAAAAAAAAAGGCCAGCGCTCCCAGGCGGAAGGCACTCCACGCCTCCTCTTCCGGATAGATGGCCCGCAAGCCTAAGAACTTGGCCAAATTCACATAGCGCAGCAGGTTGATCATGTGGGTGGACCACTGGACCACCAGGTAGCTCCTCAAGTGGAGAATTCTTTACGCTCCTTCGGATTTTCTTCTTTGTTTGTTTGGTGGTCCTCAACCAGTGGCCCTTTCTTGAAGCTCCTTCACTCCTCTCTTCTTTGTGTTGGTCTCGAAAAAGGAGGGGTCTGGTTTCTGTGGTCCTGTCAATTCATTAATTGAGGAAGGAGGGGTCGGGTTTTTGGTCCTGTCATTTCAGTTCTTTGTCGAAAATGCGGGGTCCAGTTTGTTTGTTCTGCCAATTCTGCGCTTTCTCGAACAAAGGAGGGGTCGTGTTTTTGTCCTGTCATTTCAGTTCTTTCTCGGAAGGGAGGGGTCTAGCTATGTCTCGAACAAGGCCTCCAGGTAGCTCTGTCTCGAAGTAAGGAGACCTCCTTTTGTGTCATTTCGGTTTTTGTTAGAAAAGGAGGGATCTTGCTTGACATTCACTTCCATTTGCTTGAACACTGTGGAAAACATGAACATATGTCTAGTAGTGCTAGATTCACCTAAAAAAATGGAAAATACTACATAGCGTTTCAGTTCTTTATCAAAGGAGGCCTTCGGATTTTGTCTTACCTTCTGAACCGACTGGCCTAAAAAGATGAACCCCCCCTTTTCGCGGCCTTTCTCTCGAAAAAGGCAGCCTTTGTAGATCTGATTTGTCTGAACCGATTGTCTGCAAAAAACAAATCAACCTGATTTGCCTCCGGCTTGGTCTTACCTAACAGTACAAAGTGCAAAAACACGGAGTGAGGCTTCTTCTTTGTGGAGCCGTTTCTTGACCGTATGTCTCTTTCAGAAAGTAGAAGCTAAGCAGTCCGATCAATCGGGCTTGGATGGAACTCCCCTTGAACCAAATCGGTCCTCGGCTCATCTTTTTCGGCAGGGAGGTCTGATCAATGCAAGCGACAACTAGTTTTGCGAGGAGCATTCAAAGTCTCACCGTTTCATACGAAGGAACACTTCAGCAACAAAGGACCTGACACTGAGAATTGCATTTGTTTTTCAACTCTTGGTGAGTGGGGAAATGGGGCAGCGCGCAGGGGGAAATACTTTCCAATAACTCCTGGGCAACGTAACCCACCCTCTTCTTTTCTCCATTCCGTACAAAGCACAAAATCCACGAGGGGATTGCTCCAACAGCCAAACGAACCAAGAAATCAGTCAAAACTAGCTTTGATCTGCCCCCCCACATTCTCACTAAGCCCCCCACCCCCCAAAATAGAAGTCAGTTCAACCCTGGACCCGTTTTGGATCCCGGCAGTTTTGCGCTTCCATCCTTCTGTGGATTGACCAAACTATTGCACCTGTATTTGTGGTTTATGCTGGTATTCACAGGGCTTCATCCATCCCAGCTGGTGAACAAAAACGTACATCCACAGTAGGTGACAAGAAAAGAAAAAGAAAAAAAGATTCGGGGTTCCTTGGTAAGCTGATGACGTAAAACTAATTATCTAAGCCAGTGGAACCCATCCAATTCCAAGCAATCTGCTCAACGATTGGCGGGGATTTTCGCGAGCTGGCTATGATCAAGGCCCTTTGGGGGGCCCTTATTATTTGGTGTGCATTGTTGTCAACATGTGCCAAGGACACCTTTGGCTTAACTCAACCGAGGCGCATGTAGAAATGCGTGGCATTGGGCAGCTGGTTCGCCAGCAAGTGCGGCACAGAGAAGGGGCTCTTGGCCACATCCTTTCGCAGGACTGGAAGAGGCACCCCTCAGTTGCCCAAACAATCTGTGTAGGTTATGTATACCTGGAGTCTCCATGACCCTTAACAAAATGAGGTCATTACCCTAAATCATGGGGTTATGGCGATTGCTTTAAAGGGTCATGGAGACTGCAGGTAGATTATAGACCCATGTAAACCCTCAATACAGGTGAAATGTTGGCATATAACACCTACATGGATTGTCTGTAAAGGGTCATAGCGTAGGTTGCCAACAGCTTACTAACTTGGCGAATCGAATATGCAAGTACTCTTTGGCGACTTGGAGAGGATACCCAGGATGCTCCATTTGGATGGTTCTCCTGGAGCCTGCCAGTTTGCGTGCCTCGCCGCAAGACCTGGCTGAAACAGCTAGACCTTAGCCCCCTGAGCAACACCTAGTTGTATACTCACTGCCCAAAGAGAAACCACATGATTTAACCTTTGGGTTCCCCTGATGTAGAGTTCTTACTTTTTTAGTGGATCACCTGTGTTTCTACGTCCAAACTGGGCTGAGAATGCAACCTCTTTGGCTTCCATGCGTTGCGGAAAAGTAGACTTCAAGGTGCAATGTCGCATGTTTCATGCAGAGCAACCAACAAATAAATATATATATATATATATATACAAATATATGTATATATATATATATATGTGGTTACCGAGTTTTGTGCTCCCAGCCATTTAGTTGACCATTCTCATGGTGTTCTTTTGAGTGCTTGGATTTCTTCGGGCTTTGCCAATTGAGCCTGGTGAGTCATCTAGGAACATTTTGCGGAGTCAAAGTAAGGCCTGGGCAAGTATCACAGGGCTAAAAGCGTAGTCAACAAGGAACTTGCATTTTTCCTGGTGGTTCCCACCCATGCATATTTCTTCGACCAGCTTGTTCTTGAATCCTTTGGGGTCAGTGAGTTTGTTGTTTTCCCTGAAACCACCAAACAAAAAGAGTACCTCCCCCAAAAACGCCACCCTTTCAAAGGCCCATGGACTTGTTACCAACGTCACCTCCGCGAACGCCACGCTGGTCGGTTCGCTGGTTGGGGCCCCGGGGTCCGGCCTCGCAGAAGGCCAGGAAGTTGTTGCCCACGGCGGTCACCAGAAGAACGAAGATCACCTCCAGGCTCAGTGCCCGCAAATGTATACTCTACCCACTCTGGGCTGTCCGTTTTCTGATCCCCCACTAAAAGTGACTAACTTTTAGTGGGTGAAATGGAAATCCCCACTGAACACTAAAAGGCTAAAAAGCTAAGGGGATTGCTGAGAACCACCAAGCACTAACATGGAAGTGCACAATCCCCCGCTCCCAAGAAGAAAGTTGGCTTTCTACGAAAACTGTCTGTGCACTTCCAGGTAGGTCGGGAGGGCAATATACTCACATGTACCCTCAAAATGGGTCAAATGTTGGTGAAAAGATTAGCTACATCATTGGGTTGATCAACCAGGCCCTTCGTGCTTTGCCATTTGCCCAAGTTGGGAAATCAGCCTGTCCCCAAAAACGGGTTCCCAGGTCCATATCTTGAATGCGGGGTTGATAAATTCGGTAGGTGAAACAACGTAATAGTAAGTGGCTAACCACAAACACTACTGACTATAACTTGGAGAATCGAAAATCCGAGCAAGGGTCAGCTGGTATCCTTTGAAGACGGGCTTTAAGGGGATTAAAGATGTTGCGTAGAGATCAAAGAGGCCGCATCTTTCTTTTTCCGCCTATCCTCCAGGATAGTTTTGCGAAATACATATTCTGATTGTCCACTGAATGTGGGAGGTACACAAACAAATATGTTGCAAGAAGCTCACAGAAGATCTGACCCCCCTGCAAAAAGTTTAACTTTTTGGGGGTTTAGTGGAATTTGTGTAATTTTCGAAGCTAAAGTCTAAAGATCCAACCCAATAGCAATCAAGTATTAAAGGGGCTAAAGTACCTTAGCGGGTTGGACCCGGGAGTGGATCAAGCCAAAAGGTCTTTGCCCGCCCGATGTGGGCTGTGGTGGAGCCGTCTGGGGCTGGAAAAGGGGGGGGTACACAGAAAACCATCTGGTCTGCTATGGTATGGATCATTTGGGAAATCTCGCAAAACACGGAGGACTCACAGAATGTTCCGTTTGATTGTCATAACAGGACTGTCCAAACCGATCCCTGCTAGAAGTTTAAGTTGTGGGCTAAATTTAAATGGAAACCCACACTAAACCAACCAAAAACCTAACTAAGCTGGCTTTTCCCGGAATCTATGGGGAGGGCCCACTAACACCGACCCCACCGCCTAACCAGCACAGAAACCTAAAACCGAAGGGGCCGGCTGCAAAACCGCCAAGATAAGAGGCCGGGCCATCCTGCCACCCCTGTCGAGCCCAAACACAACAGGTCGATGTGTAAACCTCCTGCCAAGAGATTGAGCCCTCGCGCGATACGGACCGCACAAGTCGTGCACCATGCACTGATCAGCTTCCTACTAGTTGGGAGTTTGGATTGGGGGTTTGGTGGTTCGGGGTGGCTTCCCATTTATCCTATGAAATAAGCAGAAGGTCAAACCCCCAAGCCACCAATGAGACGCCAGGGCAACCAAGCACAAAACCCATCTGTTTGCCAAACAAGTGATGCTCCAAAGGATTCCCAAGGTGCATGACATACGGGCAATGGTTTGCTTGGGAAAACACGTGCATGCCCTGCCACAGAACA